AAAAAAAAAAAAAAAAAAAAAGAATGGTAGTTCACAAATAAGGTCAGAGTGGACTTTGTGACCCCAGGTTGGGGTTTATTGTGCCGGGCCTTCTGTCAGAGTGACATCTGCGTGAATGTGTCCTCCATCCTCCATGTGTCCCTCTCAGTCCAGAGGGTAACAGAATGGGTTGCAGAATAACTGCTAGAGGAAGCCTTTAGTTTGATTTTGGCCATTACAGAGCTTAATTTTGTCACCTGGCCAAGTTAGTCCAGAAGTTTGGTCTATGCATATGTAATCTCTGGTGTCTGCTAGGCTAACGAGGGTGGGCAAGTGAGCTTCTCCAAGTTACACAAGGCTCACTTGGGAGCCCTTTGTGACATCTGGTGATTTGGCACATGTTTGCACCATGAGGGTCAGTGTCAGGACAAACTTCGCAAGAGGTTCAAGGACAGTGTCAGTGGAGTCAAACCACAGGCTTTGATTGCAGTGCCTCGTTGTTATGTGACCTAAGAAAGGTGTAGCATCCCTGCTTTCAAAGTGGAGGGAAAACTCCTCTTTAGTGACTTTAGCAGAGCAAAGGACAGTCCTTGAGGGTTTTGTCTGTTTGTTTGTTTTTGAGATGGAGTCTCGCTCTGTTGCCCAAGCTGAGTGCCTCTCGGGTTAAAGCAATTCTTCTGCCTCCGCCTCCCAAGTGGCTGGTACTACAGGCGCCATCACTATGCCCGGCTAACTTTTGTCTTTTACGAAATAGTACTCAGGAGGCTGAGGTGGGAGAACCGCTTGAATCTGGGGGTGGAGTTTACAGTGAGTTGAGATTGTGCCACTGCACTTCAGCCTGGGCGACAGAGTGAGACTCCATCTCAAAAGAGAAAAAAAACCAAAGTGAGGACAAAAAGTCTTTATAAAATAAAAGATCTGCTGCTGTCCAGGGGTAAGAATTATTTGAGGAGGGGTCCAGGATATTGAATAGGGAGGTCTGGAGCAGACAAGGTCTGATTACAAAGCCCTGGGACTCAGGAGACAGTGTGAAGCATAGCAGTGAGCCTGTGGAACGTCCAGGGAAGCTGTGCCAGATCTACTTCCTGGCTGTCATTTTTTGTTTGTGTGTTGTTTGCTTGTTTTGAGATGGAGTCTTGCTCTGTTGTCCAGGCTAGGGTGCAGTGGCATGATCTCAGCTCACTGCAACCTCTGCCTCCCGAGTTCAAGCGATTCTCCTGCCTCAGCCTCCCTAATAGCTGGGATTGCAGATGCCCGCCACCACACCTGGCTAATTTTTGTATTTTTAGTAGAGATGGGGTTTCACCATGTTGGCCAGGCTGGTCTCAAACTTCTAATCTCAGGTGATCCGCTCGCCTTGGCCTCCCAGAGTTCTGGGATTACAGGCGTGAGCCACCGTGCCCGGCTGATTTTTGTTTTTTAATTATGTTAAGTGATTTTTTTTTTTTTTTTT